CAACTTCCGTAGACTTGAGTCCTGGCACCTTGCCAAACGGGCCAAAGTTCTGGATGCCAAGTATGATCAGTCTCTTGCCCAGCTTTACCAGGAGCTTCGCGATCCTGCCCCTGAACAGGTCGATACGCTCCAGGTTACCCGGGACTACGCCATTTTGGCCACTGATGTTCCCAGTGCACAACTTCATGTTGAGCGCCCGCTGGATTTGCGTGGCCATTCTACCTGGGCCGTTGACGGTGTCTCCGTCTCGATCCATTCTGCTGAAGCTGATACGTGCACTCTTGCATGTGCCGTCGCTGAGTCAGGACAGGAACTTGAGCAAGTACAGGTTCTCTCTTCCGTCCCTGACTTACACGATGAATTCATCTCTTTGTGGGCACCTCGCTGGCAACAACACGCCAACGCTTCCCCCTCTGACTGGCAGCGCTTCCTTGACTTCGCGGCTGCCTACCTCCCGCGCCACAGCTTTGAGCTGCCGGACATTGATGTTTCAACATGGACCAAGGCCCTCAGGCGTTTTCGCCCCCGTGCTGCCCGTGGCCCTGACGGCTGGGCACGCGACGACTTGCTGAGCCTTCCCCCCGCCCGCACGGCTGAGTTGCTCAGTTTTCTGCGTTCTTTGGAGCTCGATGGCCGGCCATGGCCCAAGCAGCTGGTGATCGGCTTTGTGTGCCTCCTTAATAAGGGGAACGGGCGCCTTGATGCAAATGGCTTTCGCCCTATCTGCCTCTTTTCTATCATTTACCGCACTTGGGCCGGCATACGGGCCCGCCAGGTTCTCGCCGCCTTGCGCTCCATCGTTCCTGATGGCCTTTTCGGCTTTGTGCCTGGCCGAGAGGCCACCGAGCTTTGGTACTCGGTTCAGCTCGAAGTCGAGCTCAGCATCCTGGGTGGCACCCGCCTCTTGGGTCTGTCCACTGACGTCGTCAAGGCCTTCAATTGCTTGCCGCGTGCTCCGCTGCTTTCGTTGGCAGCGCAACTCGGCTGTCCACGTCGGCTCCTTGGCCCCTGGAGCTCTTTCCTGGAGGTCACTGAACGGCGGTTTATGATTCGCCAACAGGTCAGCAAGGCTGTGCTCTCGACCTCTGGCTTCCCCGAAGGCTGCCCACTCAGCCCGGTTGCCATGGTTTTCGCTGACTGGGCTTACCATGTTTACATCCAGGCTTTTGCTCCGGCTGTACGGGCCTTCAGCTTTGTTGACAACTTTGCGTGCACGGCATTTTCGGCGGCTGCTCTGTTGCATGCCTACAACTTGGTTCGATGCTTCATGGACTTGCTGCGGCTGCAGCTGGATGCTGCCCAAACCTTCGCTTGGGCCACTGTGGCAGCTGATCGTGGCGTTCTGGCCACTGCGGGGTTTAAGGTTCTCCAGACAGCCCGTGAGTTGGGTGGAGTGATGTCCTTCGGTCCTAGTGTGCGCAACTCCGCTTTGCGTGAGCGGTGCAAGCTGTTGAATCCGCTCTGGAAGAAGCTGCAACGCTCCCGAGCGCCGTGCTCCTTGAAACTTTCTGTCCTGCCCAAGAAGCTTTGGGCGAAGGCGCTCCATGGTATCTCTGGCACGCCTCTGGCTGAGTCTGTTGTGCACAGTTTGCGTACTTCCGCTACCTCCAGTTTGCGCATCCGCCCTGGCGGCAGCAGTTCATTGCTGCGACTCAGCACCGCCCCTCTTATGACTGCTGATCCGGGCTTTTATCAGCTGCTCTGTTGTGTCCTTGACGCTCGGCGCATGGCCCACAAAGTGCCCAACTTTCTTTCCCTTTGGCGCCACTTTTCGAGCCTCCGTGATGGTCGCCAACTGCATGGACCACTGTCCAAACTGACCTCCGTCCTGGCACAAGTTGGCTGGGCGGTACAGCTGCCGCCGTGGGTCATGGACCATCATGGTATTGTCCACAACCTCCTTGACCTACCAGGGCCTTTGCTACGCCGACTGCTTGAGCAGGCATGGCTTGGGTTTGTCGCTTGTCAGCATTCCCACCGCAAGACCATGTCCAACCTTTGTGGTATCGACCTTGCACTGCTGCGTGCCACTCAATTGGCCCTCGGGGCCTTGGACGCAGCTCGCCTTGCAGCCATTCAGTCCGGTGCTTTTTGGTGTGGACAACAGCAAGCCCGTTTTGACATGGGCCAAACAGGACTCTGCCCTCTTTGCCAGGTAGAGGATTCTGTCGAGCACCGTCTGCGACATTGCCCTCGATACGCAGCCGCTCGGGTCGAGCACGCGTGGGTTTTGGACATGTGGGATGAGCTGCCAGTCTCTGTCACCCACCACCTTTTGCCTCCGGCTAACCCGCATTTGCCGGCGCTGCACCGACTTCTGCAAGATGGTCTCGACACTACGGGTCAGTTTTTCTGTAAGGGTTCTGGAAGTGGTTGGCAATGTCTTTTCACAGATGGATCATGCCACACCTCTCGCAGTGCTGATCTTGCTTTAGCAGGCTGGGGGGTCATTCTGGCCAACACGGGCCAGGCTGTCGCTTGCGGCACGGTCCCCGGGCTTTTGCAGACGGCCCCTCGTGCCGAGATCTTGGCTCTCACCGCAGCTGCGCGCTGGGCCTTGGCCACCGGCTTACCTTGCCTTGTCTGGACCGATGCAGCCAACGTTTGCGCCGGTGTGGCTATGATCCTGGACTCCGGGTGTGTCCCTGGTACGGCTGATAACGACTTATGGTCGCGACTTGCCGGGTTCCTCAAGCAGCTGAATCCAAGACGCTTCCTGGTGCGGCACACGCCCTCTCATCTGGATACCGGGCTCACTGAAAGCCCGACCGAGGATTGGTTGGCGATTCACAACAATCACGCCGATGTGCTGGCAGGCATCGCTAACTCCAACCGCCCGCAGACTTTCCTTGAGGTGCATGGTCGGGCCGTTCGCTATCATGATACTACCTTGCGCGCCTTGGTTGCTCTGAGGGCTATTTTCTTCGGGATTGCAGATCTTCAACAGAATGGGGACATTGGGTCAGCGACTCCAGAGGGTGAGGATGAGGAACCATGGATCCTTCCTAGTGGAGCAGTTCCTCGCCGGATCGACCTCGAAGACACATTGCCTGTGAACTGGCGCCAGACAGCTGCTGCCTCTGCTTCCGATTTACCCTGCAGCTTTATTCTTCAGCTGTGTGAGTTCGTTTGGCAGCTTGATGCTGAAGCTGAGCATGCTTACAAACTGTCGTGGCTTGAGCTGGTTTTCGTTCTGCACTGTAGCAATCGATATTTGTATCCGGCCTGCAATCATATGGGCCAATGGGTGGAAGCTTCAACTTTGGTTTTTCCGCCGCCAGCGCACACAGTCGCTGCCCGGCTTACTTTAGTCCGGCGGGCGTTACGCCCAGCTCTGCGTAGCCTTGGATTCGACTGCTTGTTCATCCAGGGTGTTGATCTTTCGGATTTGGGTGTTCGGTTTTCTCTTGATGGCATTGTCATCGGGGTTGACACGTCTTTGCTTTTACGGGCGCGCACGAGCCTCGGTCGCTTTGTACAGGGCAGAGCGGGGACCAGATCCACGCTAGCGCGGCCGCTTTAGTTTCACTTGGAGCAGACATGGACGCTGCGGGCCGCACTGCTTCTGCCGTGCGCTCGCTTGACAGCATGAGTGTGCTATA